CCCTGGGCCTTCCTTTTACTCCCTATATATCTAAAAAACAATTTCTTGTTATCCTTAACTTGGGATGCCATCCTCGGCTCCATGGTAGCTTTGGCCTGTCTAACTGCCTCCCTACAAGCGCACGCAGAAGAGGTATACTCCTCTTCAGTAATCTCTCCCCGTTTCCACTTTTTATATGCCCCCTTTTTAGCCCGTAGGCTGCTCTGGATTTCTCTGGTCAGTCAAGGAAGCCTCTTGGCCCCTTTTCCCCCTTATCTTCAGCAAACCTTCAGATGATGAAGCTAGGTAGAGTAGTAGATAAGTGGAGGGTCAGACTGGATACAGAGACAGCTAGACAAACTGGAGGATTGGACCAAAAGAAATCTCATGAGATTCAACAAGGAGAAGTAAAAAGTCCTGCACTTAGGATGGAACCATCCCGTGCACTGGTACAGGCCGGAGACAGACTGGCTAAGTGGCAGCTCTGCACAAAAGGACCCGAGGGTTACAGTGGACACTAAGCTGAGTATGAACCAGTATGCTCTTGTCCTGAAGAAAGCTAATAGCATACTGGGCTAAATTAGTAGGAGTGTTGCTAGCAGATCAACAGAAGTGATTATTCCCCTCTATTCTGCACTAGTGAGGGCACATCTTGAGTGCTGTGTTCAATTTTGGGCCCCGCCACTGCAGAAAGGATGTGGACAGATTGAGGAGAATCCAGCAGCAGGCGACAAAAATGGTTAGAGGGCCAGGACATGACTTCTGAGGAGAGGCTAAGGGAACTGAGCTTATTTAGTCTGCAGAAGAAGACTGAGGGGGAGATTTAATAGCAGCCTTCAACTACCTGAACAGTGGTTCCAAAGAGGATGGAGTTCTCAGTGGTGGCAGATGACAGAACAAGGAGCAAGTCTCAAGTTACAGCAAAAGAAGTTTAGGTTAGATACAAGAAAAAACTCTCACCAGGAGGGTAAAAGCACTGAAACATGTTACCCCAGAGAGGCTGTGGAATCTTCATCCTTGGAGGTTTTTAAGACCCAGGTAGACAGTCTTGGCTGGGATGATCTAGCTGCTGATGGTACTGCTTTGAGCAGGGGGTTAAGACCAGATGACCTCCTGAGGTCCCTTCCAACACTAAGTTTCTATGATGCTATGGTAACTGCAACACACTAAAGATTCCCACTCCTTAATAAGAAGCTTGTTCTTTAACAGCACCAAACTAAAATATTGATTCTAGACAGTATGACAGGAATTAGGAATCGAGTAGGAAAATTCCCCTTACAAGTACACACTATTAAATATATTATTTATATGCTCACATACCCACAGATGGTTACAGGAGAGGGACTTATTTGCCACCTTGACACATTTGAGAGTAGACAGTGCCTTATTCTCCTCCATTTGTTTTAGGGCAAAAAAAAACAACCTGTACCCAAGTACTCTCCCTTGTCGAGGCCCCAGTACAAAAGGCAAAACCAACATTTATCCTCACACTTCTGGCATACACTTAGAAGTGTTTACAATTAAAGTATTCCATGACACATTAAACAGCATCAGAATGTCACCACTGCCCCACTAGCCTCCTGCACGGGACAATGGATGCCAAGCAGTACCATAACTACGCTTCAAGTGGCTGCTGTTTGGGCAGAGCACTTCAGAATCCATTTCCTACCAGAATCCATATGGGCTCTGCCCATAAAAGCTAGAACACAGAATACCAAAGTATTTGAAAATGCTCTTCAAACTAATGTGCTATAGGAGCATGAGTCAGAACATGCATACATCAAGCTTTAATAAATGCTCATCCTACTGTACCGACTAAATTAAAGCCTGAACAACTGCAGTGCAACAGAAAATATATTAGTTTCCTTTACCCTTTAAATCACAATTTACTTTACCAGAGAACATTTTTGCTGGTGCTGACAGCCAGACTTGCCTTCTAGACCTATGTGTTTACTCAGGCATATATGTTGCTTAACTTTAAGAAAGGACATGTTTGCCCTTTTTCTTTAAGTTAAGGAAATGTTTTGGCAGAGATCACAAATTATGCTTTGAAGAAGTACATGTCCTCAAAAAGAAGCTCAGAGTGCTGATGGCTTTATTCCTTCAGGCTGCCTGACAGGAATCAGGGCAAGACATTAACATACTGAGTTACAGGGTGTGTTTTCTTTCCAGTCAGACAAGACAGGTATTTTAAATGGACACTTAAATACTGGATAATTAAGCAGTTTTAGCAGGGAAAGCCCTTGCTTGGTTCAGTGGCTATGGGCACAGAACCTCAGTAAGGAGCACTCCTCTCTTCCTTATTCTATCGCTGAACTCAAATTACTGTGTCTGTGATTTTCTCCACATGTAAAATAACATCAACACAATGCTGATTACCCACCTTTGTAAAGCATATTGTCATTTATCCATGAGAAGCACTAATCAGTGTTAAGTATTATTTCATATCTTAAAAATCCAAGTTTTTCTATAGCCATGAGCATAATACAGTATATCTGCCTTAGTAACCTAAGAAAAGCTAATTTCCAAGTATTTACCTTAAAATTCACTAAGAGACTAGAAATACAAAATTAAACCCTCCATTTATAAATTTATAGCTTAAAACATTTAATTTTGTTGTTATACATCACAAACATTACTTACAGGTGAGCTATCCTTTCTCCTTTTAGAGGAGGCAGAACGTTCCCCGAACCAATCAGGCAGTTGTGTACTATAGAGAGACACTGCTGTACATCATCTCTGGAAGTCAAACATTTTAAAATGTAAGTCAATTTTTTGTGCATTTGTCTGTCCTAACAATTTTTCTATTTAGTCTCATTTTATTAAGTTCTATAAATGAAAGCATTTTCTTTTGGTCAACTTCTAAGTTTCTCCTCACTAAAAATATCAGCTCTAAATCGCAAATATAAAAGACGACTTGACAAAAGCTGAGAAAGGATCTCTCTATCAGAAAGCTGCAAACCTCTGCTTTGTTTGTGTTATATTGGCTATTCTACATTGTTAAAGTAAGAGAAAATACCTGCATTTTGAGATAAAGAACTTGATTTCAACAGTAGATGATCCTGATTTTCTAAATCCCAAAACAATACCTGATAACGTTATCTAGTCCAATATCCAAATCTATTTTTTAAAAAAAAATTGTCCACCATAAGAGAAATAAGTAAGTGTTCTTCAGCCCATAACATAATCCACTGGGAAGCAAGTCACAATGTTACAGAAAAATGCAATAATAATGCTATTTTGGTATTTCTCTATCATAGTAAAACCATATATAAGTTGGATTTAAATGGACAAGCTGACTGAGTTAGATTTTCATTTAAAATTTAATGCACTTGGACATATTTTTTTTTAATGATAATCAATGTTTTCCTAAAAAAGGAAAACTGGAAAGCAGCCATATACAATATTATTTGGGGGGTGTTGTTCTTTTTAAACATGACAAGCATTTCTGGCAGTGTAAGAGTGGTGTTGTAACCATGATGATCCAGAGATTATTATGCAATTATTTTATTTTTGGTTTCAAGATTTATTTTAAGGACACGTGTCAAACTCAAATGGCCTCAAGGGCACAATCTGGATAGAAGAGCTCCTTCTAAGCTGGACAACTGACCTCTGGATCTAGCATTCGGTGCTTCTCACTGCAAATGCCAGAGCCACTGTGTTGGCACAAGCAGACAAGGAGTTAATGTAGCTCCTGTGGTTATGGCAGCCACAGTGAGAAGCCCAAATTTGGGCTAGATGACCCACCTTTCCAGGTTATATTTGGCCATGGCAATGTATTAGACAGTTCCGTTTTAAAGGATCCTTGATTGCAACATCTTTAGTACTTGTAGATTAAACAGTACCAAAGGACTTTTTTTTTTTTTTTTACACAACTAAAGACTGAAGACTAAATCAGATTTTGTAACTTCATTACAAAGGAAAACTGAAAAGGATTAAGTGCCTGTAAATGCATACACTAAAGTAGTTATTGGTAACTCTTTTGATAGTTTCTGTGTATAGCAAGGGAGTGGTGGCACTACTGCCAGATTTCCAGAACCATGGGGAGCCCCCACCAGCCAGACAGCACCCATTTACGGTGCACAACCCAGTCTGAATATGAAGGGGCAGGAAGATGAGTGTAGGGCTTCACCCATTCTGCAGACTGGCCCCACACCACTCATCTGGCCTACATGTTCAGAACACTGAGCACCACTGGATTAAAGTGATCTCTGCCACCAAAAGCTTAACACAGAAATGCAGATACAGACAAGAATAGAGCATACAAGCAGAGTAAAGACATGTAAACACCAGGTGAGTTTCCTGCTCTTGTTGGTTTCTTATTTAAAATATTATCCAAATGCCCGTCAAGAATGCCCTGGGCCCACTCCCCCTTCCCTCCTGCTGCTTGAGGTCCGGGCCCGCTCATCCCCTCCCCACCACTATGGTGGGGAGGGGGGGAGGAGTGGGCCTGGGCCCAATGTAGGGGAGGACCAGGCCTGAGGGTGGGGAGAACCTAGGCCAAGGGGGGACAACAGGATGGGACACGGACGACAACATGACACTATATGGACACAACGGGCCCAGGCCAACCCGACTGCAGCGAGGGGAGAGGAGGAATGGGCTCAGGGCCAATGCAGGGGGGAGAGAAGGCCTGCTCCTCCCCTCCCCCAGCTGCTACATCAGGCCACATTAGCCCAGGCCTGCTGCTCCCCCCACTACTGCTGTGGTAAGCCAGCTTCTCCCCCAGCTCGGGCTTGCTCCCCCTCCGCCCCAAACAACCTTGGGCCTGGGCCCAGGCCCACTCCTCCCCTGCCCCCGCCGCCTTGTTGGCCCTGCAGGTGGTGACAACAGAAGGGGAGGGGCGGGCTGAAGCCAGCACTGGTGGATTCACATCTCCTGGGGCATCCTGG